CTCACGCCCATAGGAGGGTGATCGGGCATCATGGTTTGACTGGGGGGGTCAGAGTCCGCACCCGGGGAACATGAAGGGGACTGGAGGCCACATGTAAAATTAGCAATTCATTGGTCTGCTGTGAATATACTTGCCCTGGCGCTGGTGGGCACAGGAGCTGAGTGTTCTCTGATGCGGCACCCCTGAGCGTTTTCCCGGGACCCCTGCTGTGACAGATGGCTACGGGGGTTAGGCATTTAGAGGGAAGAAAGCCCACATCTCACTGGGGACAGGGTGTTTACCCCCAGAGGAGTACACCGTGTACATTTCTCCCATCCCTGAATATATTCTGGGGGTAGATATCCTGCAGGGCCTGTGGTTACAGACCCCTGCAGGTGAGTTCAGACTGAGGGTACATGTGGTAAAGGCAGTTCTGAGGGGACACGCTAAGCACCCACCTGTAGCTCTGCCTGTACCTCGGTGGGTGGCAAATACTAAGCAGTATAATTGCCTGGGGGGCACAAGGAAATTGGAGAAACCCTATAAGAGTTGGAGAAGGTGGGCATCATAAAGCCCACTCATAGTCCTTTTAGTTCCCCAGTGTGGCCAGTGAGAAAGCCAGACGGCGCCTGGCGTATGACTGTGGACTACAGGGAACTGAATAGAGTCACACCCCCTTTGCATGCTGCTGTCCCCTCTATCGCAGCCATTCTGGACGCCCTCAGCCATGAGCTGGGTGTCCAGCTCTCTGTAGTAGACCTTGCCAATGCTCTCTTCTCTATTGACATAGCACAGGAAAGTCAGGAACAGTTTGCCTTCACGTGGGACGGCTGGCAGTGGCCATTCACTGTCCTTCCACAGGGACATCTCCACAGTCCCACCGTCTGTCACAGACTTGCAGCCCACGACTTGGCCACATGGAAGAAACCGCAAACAGTGCAGTTGTATCACTACATTGATGATATTATACTGACGTCTGATTCTCTTTGAGATTTAGAAAGGGCAGTCCCTAGACTGTTGCAACATTTACAGGAAAAAGGGTGGGCTGTGAACAAGGTTCAGGGACCTGGTTTGTCTGTGAAATTCTTGGGGATTGTCTGGTTGGGTAAAACTAAAGTTATGCCTGAAGCTGTCATAGACAAGGTCCAGGCCTTCCCCACCCCTCCCACTGTGGCAGTATTACAAGAGTTTTTGGGTCTTTTGGGCTACTGGAGAGTGTTCATTGCACACTTGGCACAAATTCTGAAGCCCTTATTACCGGTTGGTACGAAAGGGCATCAGGTGGCACTGGAATGAGACGTGCAGCTGCTTTTACTGCTGCCAGGCAGGCAGTCAAGGCCATACAGGCCTTGAGTGTAATGGCCTCATCAAGGCCCTGTGAACTAGATGTTCATGTAACTGAAGATGGTTATGGATGGGGTCTTTGGCAGCGGCTTGAACAGACACGCCAACCTATTGGGTTCTGGTCACAACTGTGGAAAGGAGCAGAGGTCTGGTACCCCTTGAGTGAGAAGCAACTGGCTGCTGTGTACCACGCCTTGCTGGCTACTGAGCCCATTGCTGGAACAGCTCCAACCAAGGTAATAACCACCGATCCCATTGCGGGGTGGCTGTGAGACTGGACCCAAATGCCGTGGAGTGGTGTGGCAGACACCTGCAGTGGCCACCTGGGGCACATATTTACAGCAGCTCAGCACCCTCTGTACTGGCCCCTTAAGAGGAGAACTCCAACGCTTATTGGGGCCAGTGACGTATACCAGTGGAAAGCAGGAAGAACTTGCTTTTCAGCCATTGGTAACTGAGACTCCTTATCAGGAGGGAAAAGCCCCTGTACCTGAAGATGCTTGGTACACAGACAGTTCCAGTCATGGGCAGCCTCCGAAGTGGAGGGCTGTGGCTTTCCACCCTAAGACTGAGACAGTGTGGATGGAGGATGGAGAGGGGAAGAGCAGCCAGTGGGCTGAGCTGCGGGCAGTATGGCGCCTGATCACCCAGGAGCCCTCCCCCATAGTTGTCTGCACTGACAGCGGGGCCGTCTATAGGGCTTGACCCTGAGGCTACTGACATGGTATCATGCCAACTGGATGGTTGGTCACCGGCCTCTCTGGGGGCAAGAGTTGTGGCAAGACCTATGGGCCTCTGGTCAGACTAAGACTGTTACCGTCTATCATGTGACTGGCCATTTGCCTCTGGCATCCCCAGGGAGTGATGATGCAGACACACTGGCCCAGGTGCACTGGCTAGAAGGAAAGCCTGCCTCTGATGTGGCCCAGGGGCTACACCAGCATTTGTTGCACGCGGGACAAAAGACCATGTGTGCTGTAGCCCGTCGGTGGGGCTTGCCACTGACCTTTGCAGAAGTCAGCAGAGCCCGGAAGGAGTGCCTCGTGTGCTCTAAAAGGGACTTACACTGAGTCCCGCAGCAACATGGGACAATAGTAAGGGGGCCAATACCCCTTGTCGGGTGGCAGATACACTGTATTGGGCCTCTGCCCATATCAGAAGGATATCTGTTTGCCATGACTTGTGTGGACACGGCTACTGGCCTGTTGGTTGCTTTTCCTGCACGTCGTGCAGATCAGCAAACCTCCAAGGGGAGGCCTGGGGCATCTCTGTGCAGCCTATGGCCGCCCGCAGGTGGCTGAGAGCAATCAAGGCACCCGCTTTACTGGACATGTGTTACAAGGATGGGTGCAGCATTTAGGAATAAAGTGGAAATTTCATGTAGCATATAACCCTACCAGGGCAGGCATGATGGAGACGTACAACAGTTTGTTGAAATCAGGCCTGAATTCAGACACCAATAGTCTATGGGGCTTGTCAGTTCACCTATGGACAATCCTATGGCATTTGAATGTGAAGCCACGTAAAGGAGCCTTGAGCCCTGTGGACATGCTCACACACCTTGCTGCCTGTCCTATACAACGGTACGTCCAAACCAAAGACGAGTTACTGAAGCCAGGATACGGCCAGCAGAGCAACATCCTGCTGCCAGCCCCACTGCATTAAACCCTGGAGACACTGTTGAATGGACATGGCCCTGGACATTTCGACACATAGACCAGCAATGGCTGGCCCTTCTGGCTCCTTGGGGAAAGGCCTGGAAGCTGGCCTCGTGTGTATTCCTGGAATAACAGCTGAATGGCCCCCATAGGTCACGTAGTGTACCCAAACGTCCAGGAGGTCAGAGCATCTTGCAAGGAAGTTTTGTTTTACCTTCCTGGCCAGTGCACGTACCTCCCGTAGCCCTATATACTGACCCCTCTGTAACACCCACAGGGCGGGGGGTGAACGTCTGGTGCACTAGACCAGGACAAGGTCCCATTCCTGCCACTGCTTTATCACAAAACCACTCTCTTGCATGCATCCTGCCTGATGGAGAAGATTCGCCTCTGCTGGTGTCATTAAAACGTGTATCTTATCGCCCTTACGCTTATTTTCTTCTACAGTCCTAGAGCCTGGATGTGCCGCCGGGCTGCAGCTGCCGTGTGATGCTTGCTGTGAACCCCTTTAACATTATGACCTTATTTTGTGGGTTCCCCTCGAATTTTCTAATTGCTTTCATATATGTGATGTTTTAGGTTTTAATTCCACTAGTTGAACACAGATTTCTGAAACTTCCCACACTGCATAGCAAGCAAGAGGGGGACCCCGGGCGTGCCCCCCGATGTCTTTGCCTCCACGCCTGCCCTCTCCTGTCCTCTGCACTGCGCACACAGACCTGCGGGGTCGTCCTCTAGCCTGAGCGTCCAGGACATGGTCGTTAAGGTCTCCTAAAGAGACACCCCAAGTCAGCCAGCTGGCTGTGCAAGCCAGGCTCCTGTCTCCACGGCTCCGGCCCTGTACCGCCGCCTGCCTCGCCCCTGCCGGTCCTGTCCGCCAGGGCCCCCTGCTCCCCAGTGCCTCCACCTGAGCGTGGGGTGTGCACCCCGTTCTCTCATGACTTCCCATCCAGGAGTTGGATCATGCACCCCCCTCCGCCCCTCCTGCCCAGATCCCACCGGGACAGCCTTCTCATGCCTGTGGGGTGGGCCCCATGCCCTCTGTCCTGCGCGCATGCTGCCCCTCCCGGTCCAGCCTGCTGCTCGCCCTCCACTGCAGCTCCAGCATGATGCCTGCGGTCCGACTGCCTTAACCCCCCTGGCCTCTTCGGGGCCCCACTGGGGCAGCACTGAAAGCCCCAGGCCATCTGCCTCCCCGCCCTCCCCTTGCACCCTGCAACTTAGGGGAACAGACTCCCCACATCTGTCCTTCCTCCCTGGAGAATCCCAGCTGCCTCTCGGCTTAGGCATCCCCTCCAAAAGCACACAGCCCCTTCTCTCCAAGCCCCCAGGGTCCCCCGACCAGGTGCCGGTGCTGCCCACCCAGCCATCTCCCCCAGGAGGCTGCGAGCAGGGACAGGTGGTCTCTGTTCCAGACAGAGGCAGTGCGGGGCACCTCGTGGTCCTCACACGTGTGCTGCGGTGGACATGCTGGTGCTTACGGGCTCAGGGCCTTCTGAAGAGCCAGCAGTTGCCTAACACCTAAAACCCTCCCCTCAGGGCTGCTCTGGGGGGTACTGAGTTGGGCCGCCAGGCGGCACCTGATATAGAGCGCGCTGCACAAATCGTGCTGTGGCCACACCCATGTGCCACATTATCTGTCCTTTGTAGTCTGAGCAGAATGCGGAGGAACACCTTTGGGGGCTGGGCTACAGGTGGGTTTCAGGTGTCAGTGCCCCCCAGCCCAGAAGGCATGAGGAAAGGCACACGGGCGGGAGGATGGGGGAGGGGAGGGCACAGGGTGCCGGCAGGCCTCCAAGGGGCACCACGCCCGTCGGGTGCAAAGGTGTTTTCAGAGAACATCCCGGAGCTGCCGCCTTTCTGAGACGCCAGCCCTTCACCCACAGTCCGGGGCTTTCCCAATGGGCACTGGACTTGAGCACGGATTTAAGGCATAAATTCCTTGCGTATTCCTTTGCGCCTCCATCCCAAGGCCTGGGAGCCAGCCCAGCACACTCACTGTGTCCTCTGTCTCTGCAGTCGTGTCAAGCTGACCTGGTGAAGGACAACGGCCACAAGTACTTCCTGTCGGTGTTGGCGGACCCCTACATGCCGGTAAGGGCCGGGCGTCGCCCCCCGCGGGCAGCCCCGGGGTCTGCGCCAGGCGTGCCTGCCCGCATGCCGTGCCGTTGTGCCTTTAGGAAGGTCCAGATAAGGTTGCTCCTCACCACCCACCCGTTCAAGCACAGGGGCTGCAGTGGAGTGTGGCCTGGCTGTGGGAGGCCATGTGCACACTGTCCACACCCCTGGAATGCTCTCTTTACTCAGTGACATGCTACCTCAGCCGCTGTTTCCTCGCTGCCGCTGAGAGGTAGCGTTCACGCCAAGGTCGGGCTTGCTCTGCTTACGTGGGCCCACTTTCCCCAGCACGCCTGTCAACGTAGCAGGACCTGCCGTCCCTCCCTGCTGTCACCTGAGCTGAATGAATGAGTCCCTGCACATCTATATGTGGCAGTTGAAGGGCAGGAAAGAAAGAGGGGATTGGAAGTTTAAGTTTAAGTGTGTTACATTGCTTAAAAATTAGTAACCTCCAAATAGCATATATAGCAACTCCTATAAATGTTTTATGATTTATATAGCCTTCCTCTAGCTCCTCGCGTAGTAAAGAGAACAGAACAGACATCCTGAATAATTCTGTCAGCTCAGTTTTACCTGAATGTTCAGTCAAGTGCACCAGCTCATGTAGTCTCCGCTGGCTTTGGTTGTATAAAGGAACTTTTGGGTGTAGTCACTCCCTCTAGTTGGCTTTTAAACCAAATAATGACAAACAAACTTACTAATAAAAACAGCCACAAGCAGAAAGCATGAAAAACAGGATCGTTACACAAAAGCTAAATAGTATTTCTGTGCTGTGACTTAAGCGCAGCATTTGGGCATCAGCTCAGGCGAAGTTAGTTTCAGAAAGAATCACTCCCATGGCCGAGGGTGAATTGAGCAGGCATATTGGCAAAGTCGACAGCCACCATATAGGCAGCGGGCTCCCATCAGCGACACAGGAGGCGGGAGGCTGCAGGGAGGCCCCTGGAGCGCCACACCCAGCTGACGGATCACTCAGGGGTGGGGGCGAAGCCGACACCTGTTCAGAGACTGACAGCTTCTCACGTTCTGACCCCCACCCAAGCGAACCCAGGGGAGAAATAGGATGCAGGACGCAATGAAAAGCTAGGAGGCTGTCAGACGTGTCGGCCTATCTGAACAAGCATTGGCTGTGAAAATGAATGATCATGACCCTCAATTTGAGGGCTTAACGCCTGAGGAGGAATGCAAGTGAGGGCCCCGGCCTGGCACTGATGCAAGGCAGACGCAGAGAAGGACCGACTAGACTGTTCAGTGCGCGCAGTCAGGCCTTGGGCACCGTTAAACGGAAGCGGGCACGCTGGTTCCCAGAGAAGCAGAGGTGCAGAGGCAGGAAGGCCTGGGGGTGGGCTGCCCCATGGCCTGGGGAGGTGGCCGGGTGGGGACACTCTGTTCCTTGCACTGCCACTGGCGTGATTGGCTCGGGGCAGCCGAGGAGTCGGGGAGCTTCCTGGGAGCAGGACGGCCTCCTGACGGGAGATCACAGCAGCCCTGTGCCCGCAGGATGGTCTGTCCCCCAGAAGCCAGCCCAGAGCTGTCAGACTCTCTCAAAAGGGCTGTTCTCTTTTGTAGACTCAAATCAAAAGACAGCAAAGCTGCATCTCTTCTCTTTACACATGAGGCGCGTCGTAAAGACTTGGGGCCAGCCCGCTGGGGAGTGGGGAACCCACTGTGGCCCATGCAGAGCCGGGGTGGCTTCTGTTTTGCAGGCCGAGCACAGGACCATGACGGCGTTCATCCTCGCTGTGATCGTCAACGGCTACACCACCGGGCAGGTGAGTGCACGGCCGTCCGCCCTCCAGGGCCGCCAGGCAGTCGCCACGCAGGGGTCAGCACATCTGTTCCAGTCAGGCCCCGGTGGACATGCCGCGGTAGAGCCGAGGCCCGGACCCTCACTTAGTTGGCCATTGGCAGGGTGATTTATAATTAGTGGGATTTAAAATGAGAAGCATTGAGCAAATCTCATGCTGGGATTAAGCAAGGTTTCCCCAGGAAATGTCAGGGCAGTGACCTGGCCCGACACTTCTGGTGGGTACCCTGGGTCGGTGGGTGAGCCACGCTGTGCCATCTGCCTCCTCGCAGGAAGCCTGCCTCCAGGGAAACCTGATTGCCATCTGCCTGGAGCAGCTCGATGACCCCCACCCCTTGCTGCGCCAGTGGGTGGCCATCTGCTTAGGACGGATCTGGCAGAACTTTGACTCGGCCCGGTGGTGTGGGGTGAGGGACAGTGCCCACGAGAAGCTCTGCAGCCTCCTGTCCGACCCCATCCCTGAGGTGAGTCTGTCGCTGGCTGGTGACTTCAGGCTGAGCGAGGTCAGGGTGCCAGCAGGGAAGACAGGCAGTGCCCACAGAGGCCTGCTGGTGCCCACATGCCACCTCGTGTCTGGAAACCGTCCACTTGCTCAGCTGGCCCACCAGCCCCCTGCCCTGACCCCTGGCTCGCTCACTGATGGCTCCAGAAGTTCGTGCCCCCGCGGGCTGCTGGCAGGGGCGAGGACACCTCCTTGGGTCCTGCCCATCCCTGCGCCGTCAAGATGGGCAGCAGCCTCCTGCAGCCTGTGCGGGGCACCCATGCGCAGTGGACGGGGCCGAGCAAGCTGCCCTGACCCCGGGGCCTGGCAGCCGGGCATGCGTGTGACCCATCCCCACCCTGCAGGTGCGCTGTGCAGCTGTCTTCGCCCTCGGCACGTTTGTGGGCAACTCTGCGGAGAGGACTGACCATTCGACCACCATCGACCACAACGTGGCCATGATGCTGGCCCAGCTGATCAGCGATGGGAGCCCCGTGGTACGGAAGGTGCGTGGCCCCCAGGGTGCAGGCAACAGAGAGCCATGGCTGGTCTCCCACAGTGACCGGGGTCTGAGCCAGTGGCCCAGCCGCAGCAATGAGCACTCACTCCCCCTGTGCGCACCCCTCAGAAGGCAGATCTTTAAATGTTTGTTTGATTCTCTCCAAAACACTTCTCTTCACCAGATACTCGTGTCTTTGCTTCATTTAAAGGCATTTAACAGGCTGCGTCTCCTGGCAGCTTGTATAATAGGCTCCTTCCTGCCTGGGAGCAACACACAAACATGCCACGGAGACTCAAAAGGGCAGTAGTCACCCACAGACACACAGACAGGTTTGTGGAGTGTGCCCCCTCCCCGCCCCCATGTGCGTCAGCAACTGAATGGACATGTGTGATGTCGGAGACATTTACTTGTCTGTTTAGGTGTGGGAATTCCATGTAGGATCTCACCCCAGCCAGCAGGCCCGGCACTAGACCCCCTGCCCTCCCCAGGCAGAAGGGGCCCCTGGGGAGCCACTCGCAGCGTAGGGGCCACATTCCACGTGACCTTGCCAGCTGCCTTGGAGCGGAGACTTGCACTGGTGCCGGGGAGGCCAGGCGCCCTGTAGGCGGCTGTCAGCCAGCACGTCATCGCACAGGGCCTCTGAGACGCTGTGCCAGGGAAGGGGCGGTTGGGGGTGGCGGTCGGAAGATGGGTGTGGTTTGGGGGAGTTGCTTGTGGGGAGTAGGACCCCCTGACTTACCTGGGAGGGACACCATGTGAGCAAGACCCCAAACATGGAGGCCTCACCCTATCTTGACTCCTCTTAGAGACCAACTAGCCTGCTATCACACGTCAGGTTATCTAGGGAAGCGTGAACAGCGTGAGACGAGGTCCCGGCCATCCCTCCCTGGTCCCAGCCCTGTCACCTTCGGGCTCCCACCACAAGCGACCGGCCCCCACAGGACAGGCCGCCTTCACACAGACTTGCTAATCGAAGCAGCAATTTGGCTGTTTTGTCTCCCACTTTTAAAGAAGGAGAGCATTTTTCTTCCTCTAAAAACACTTGATAAAGAATGTTGATTTAAAGAAGAGTGTCCTTCTAAGTCCCCAGTTTCAGGACAGTGGCCACCAAAGCCATAGGAACGACCGGAGCACTGTCCGCTGGAGCACGCCCCCAAGGGCCTCATGTGGTTCCCGGGCTCCCGTCTGGCTGAGTCCACTCGCTGTCCCTTATTTCTGGATTCCAGAGGCTCAGGTGCAGCCAGGTCCTCACTGTGGACCTCACACTGCCGGATGCCACATCCCCCGGACCCACCAAGGGCCCTTCTCCCCATGTGCTCATCCATCTGAGCCCAGTGGGCCGGTTCCCCTGATACCAGGCTCTGGAGCACAGAGGGGAGGGCGAGCTGCCCCCAAGGAGCACACAGTGCGGTTGAGAGCAGATATGATCCCGTAATTGCACTGAAGCTCTCGAAAATGAGCAGTGGCCCAGAGGCAGGCCCGAGTTCTCCAGAACTGGGTAGCTTGGCAGCTGCCCTGCCTCAACAGAAAGCAGGGCTGGGAAGGCTACCGCAGGGCAGAGCTGGTACCTGGCCTGTGAAGGCGGAGCAGCCTGGAGCCAGGGAAGGGGGTGTGTATGCGCAGGTCCTCTTGAGGGGCTGAGCCCCAAGGGCAGAAGGGGCAAGGCTGGAGGGCATAGCTGCCATCCTGGGCACCCTGTGGGGAGGGTCTCCCCAGCCCTGCCTTCTCTTTCAGGCTCTGGTGAGGCCTCGGGACCCACCAGAGCCTTCAGGGAGCCTGCTCTCCGACTGGGAGACCGGCAGCCAACAGCAGGCTTGTTCCGTGAGCCTTCGCAGTGACGTTCGCTACGGAAGCGCAGGGCACACAGAGGTTTCAGGAGAGTAGGGTGGGGGTGGGCTGGAGAGAGGATGCGTCTTTAGTAGTGGGCAGGGAGGCCTTCTCTGTGAGCCCTGATTCACTCTCCCCTTTGTTCAGAGCCACATGGTGGGACTATCGGGGTATGTGGCACTCTGAGGGCCCAGCCCCCGGAGACCCGCATGGTCCTGAGCTCCACCAGCCGACCTGCCGCCCCCTTGGCTGGGGGCTGCTCTGTGCTGCCAGCTCAGGGCCGACACCCTGGCTCCGACCCGAAGCTAAGGCGCTGTCACCCTGGCTCTAGCTGCCCATGCTGTCCAGCTCGTGCCAGGGAGAAAAGCTGGACATTATGGTGGGGTTTTCATGGTCACAGGGATTCCATATAAAAAGATGCATCCATTCACTGTTGACAATTAAGCGTCCTTCCCAGGTGATAGCCGAGAGTGGCCTTTGCCGGCTTGTTACAGAGCATACTGATAAAATCATAAAGTCAGCAGATTCATACCAGCCTCCAAGTCATTTTGAGCTTGAACTTGTCCTTGAAGGACAAAATGCTGACTGCCCAGTCAGCAAGCCACCCCCACCTCATCAAGAAGGCCAGGCGAGGGGGGCAGGTTCTGACCCCCCAGTTGACGCCCGCCTTTCCCCAAGGCTGACTGGGAGGAGCAGCGTGGCGTGGGGACCAGGCCAGCCCCACATCTGCGGCTCTGGCCACCTTAGCGAGGAGGCAGGAGGCGTGGCATCCTTTGCCTCGGGTTCAGGTTCACTCATTCGCAACCACAGACCCCAGAGGGCCAGCACCCCTGAACCGCACGCTTGGCTCAGGCGACCCTGGGGCAGAGCGTCGGGCTGTTTGCGCAGGCCTCTGATGGAGTCGCTGTGGGCACAGGCCGCCCGGGCCGCAGCCCCTGCTCCCGAGGCGAGCACGGAGGGAGTGCACAGCGGAGCGGCTATGCGCCCCAGCCCGGACCCACCCTGTCCTGCGCCGGTTCTGGGCGCTGCGTCTGTGGGCCACAAGCAAATGTCAGCCAGCAAACTGCTAGAAGCAAGGGGTGGCACTGGGCTCACGGAGGCCACAGGGAGGACCACAGAGGCACGTGGTCGGCTCCCCCACACAACCACCGGGGAGCATTTGCTGGGCAGCCTGTGCCCGGGCGTGATGTCCCTGGGCGCTGTGACAACACTCTTTAAGAAAGAAACTTGTGTTAAAGGGGAGAGGCCGATACACATTGTGCCTGAGGGAAGGGCTTCGTTCAGCAGATGCTGTCGGCACCCACTGTGTGCCGGGCCCTGGGTCGCCAGGCCTTGGTGTCCCCGTCATGAACTGAACCTGGGGCCTCCCTCAAGACTTTGTGCTTGGGGACAGGGCGGCTTGGAGACTGAGCCGACCGGAAAGCAACGTGGCAGGTGGTGGTAGTGCCTGGGACCCGGGAGCAAGGCCTCGTTTTGTTCAGAGAGGGAGCAGAGGGAGGGAGGCTTGGAGGGAGGAGGACCGACCCTGCGGGGGAAGGCCGAGGCTGCCCGGCTGAGAGGCTCTGCCAGCCAGAGGCACAGATGCGTGTCTCGGCGCTGGGGAGCTGGGAGCACCGTCTCCCAAAGGCCGGAGCCGCAGCGTGTGCTCCCCGGCCCGCCCTCTGCCTCGCTCTGCAGACACCCCGAGGTATCTGCGCATTTGAGCTCTGCGTCAGAACAAATCACCCACCCAGGAGGCCCATCAGCGGCAGGACAGGGCCTGGGGCCAGCAGCAGCTGCCCTCCGAGTGCCCGCTGCCCCAGAGCCACTTGGTGCCTTTGGCTTTCCCTGAATCAAAGGGCCCAAGACCTAGGGAGGGGCCGTCTCAGGTCCCAGCATGGCTGTTCCCTCCCCACATCAGCGAAGGGGGAAGTCAGTGCCTCTCAGGGATGGCACAGGCCTCATCTTTGCAGGGAAACCAGACAGGGGTCCCTCAGCAGCACGCTGTTCCCACACACAAGGAAGGTAGGCTAAGGTGTCGCTGGCTGGCGCAGAGAGGCTCATGGGTGCCAAAGGGCCCAGCACCCTTCCTCCCAGGGATGGATCGAGTGGGAGGCGCTGCTAAGATAGGAAGGATGGGTCAGGGTTGATCCAGGGCTCCAGCCTAAGCCATCACAGGGTTGTGGTTCCATGGGCACGAGCCAGGGGGTCCCTCACAGGGGCTGAACAGAAGGGCAGTGCCGGCAGGTGGCTGGGAGGCTGAGCTTGGGGTTTGCGTGAGCGCTTAGGTAGAGGAAGACCACCTGCCGCTTGAGAGGTGGGGCGCAGAAGGGTACGTTTGGGAGCAAAGCACGCATGGCCAGAGGCCCAGCGGTGTGTGAGGCTGTGCTGGGGGTCTGTGCCCTCGGCCCGTCCAGAGCCAGCGCCTCGGCAGAGCTCTGGAAGACCTTGGCTCTCTGCTAAGTGAAACTGAAGGCAGAGCTGCCTGCACAGCAGTGGAAAAGTGGCGCAAACCTCCTCCCAGTTTCATTTCCCGGGGACCCCCGGCTGCAGGCCCCTGTTAGAGCCCTGACCGTCCTGGGAGAAGCCTGTGCACGTTCTTGAACCGAGGCGGGCAAGCCTGAAGATCATGCAGAACTTTCTTACAGCCTGTTAGGGCCTGGACCCTCGTTTGTCTTTGAAGGGTTTGCATTTAATGAAAAGAGTGCACTTTAGCTTGTCTGGCATGTTGGCTTCATGTGCCCAGAACACCAGTGGGTCACCCAACCTTGGGGTCTGACCAAAAGGCCTCTCGGCTGGGTCGTGGCACGTACTAGAAACTCGAGGCCCTGAGGCCTCCTGCCTTGCCACTCGGGCCCCCACAGATCTGCGCGGCATGCTGTCCAGCGCACTCTCGGCCCTGCTGGGCTCTCCGTTGCGTTCCTTGGTCCCTTGCAGCAGGGGGCCCGTGGCCTTGACCACACTTGCTTGTTCAAGCACCTGCTCCCACTGGATACTCCCAAGTGTCTCACCAAAAGGGTCAGTTCTGCGCCAAGAGGGCATAGTTTTGTTTTAACCTTTCTTTTTTCTGTGGAGACACAAGCATTTGGTGTTAGCTTTTAAGTCTCACTGCTTTTTACAACCATCTTCCAGTCGCCAGTAAGTGTTCCGGTCCGTTCTCCCTCTCTGCAGGAGCTGGTGGTGGCACTGAGTCACCTCGTGGTTCAGTATGAAAGCAATTTCTGCACCGTGGCCCTGCAGTTCATGGAAGAGGAGAAGAACTACCCCTTGCCGTCTCCGGCGACCACAGGTACGCAGCTGAACTCGTGCAGCCTGAACCTCTCACCCGCCCCTTCAGGCAGCCAGGGACGCTTCCTCGGAGCGTGAGCAGGCCCCTCAGCGCTGCCGGGGCCTGAGCGCAGACGTCTGCCTTGCGTGGCCCCCGTGACTCCCGTCCTCCCAGGCACTTAGCAGAACAGAAGGGGCAGGAAAAGGGGCCGTGCTAATCATCTGCCTCTTGCTTTTTGACCCTTTTGGAAATCGTAGAAATCTTGGGGGTGGGAACCTGCGTCCAGGCTCGCAGAGAGGCACGCAGCCTCATCCCGTGATGAGCCACTCCGTCAGGCTGCTGCCACTTCCCGTTCCAGTGACTCATGTCAGGCAGCTCCCCTCCTCGCACCCAGCCTCTCACCGAGTTTATGGCTCGTCATCTTGGGCTGCCCGCACCCCCAGAACACAGCCGTCGCTGCAGGAAGAGGGCCTGTGATCAGCAGTGCGAGCATCACCCCTTCAGTGCTCCAGGGAACGCGGCGAGGGGGAGCCTGCTCGGTGGAGGCGGCTGGTGTGCCCGGGGGCAGGCGGCAGCAGACGGGGTCCTGCCTGGGCCCACCCGGTGGCCGCCATGCTGTCGCCTCCGGGGCAGCAGCCCACGGCCGCATCACAGAGCACCTGGTGCTGCTCTTGGAGAGGCGGCAGTCCCCGTCCTGCTCGCTGCAGCCCCTGCTCACCAGACCGCCCCACCCAGCTCTGCCCAGCTGGCCCTGCCCCATGGAGCTGTCCTTCTGAGACCAGGCCTGCCGGAGCGCGAGCTCATAGGGCGCTTGCTGCCCCTGCCGCCCTCACCTGTGGCTGCCGCCATCCTTGGCCCGCGGCAACGCTCTCCCTCCTTCCCCCCTAGAGGGCGGGAGCCTGACCCCGGTGCGGGACAGCCCGTGCACCCCCAGACTGCGCTCCGTGAGCTCCTACGGGAACATCCGGGCCGTCGCCACAGCCAGGAGCTTGAACAAGTCTTTGCAAAATCTGAGCTTGACTGAAGAATGTAAGATACTGGACACGGGGTACTTGGGTAGGGCAGTCGTGGGCTTTATTTTATGAAACTTTTCACGTGACCTCGTGCCCGCCCCCCTTCTCCACCATAAATGCCCCACAGCCCTGGCGACTAGCAGGTGTTCATACCACAGATGTAGTATGGCCCCCAGGGTAGCAGTGGGCACCTTCCAGGCTGCAGACAGCAGGCAGCCAGCAGCCGGCTGGGGTACATGAGCTCCGGGGAGGTCCGTGCGGGCTGTGTGTGGGGCACAGGCCAGTCCTGTGCCACTGTGGAGGCCCACAGGGGGCCGGGGCACTGTGCTGACCCTCCCTGCGGCCCGGGCCAGCTGGCAGCACCGTGGCGTTCTCCCCGGGGAACCTGAGCACCAGCAGCAGTGCCAGCAGTGCCCTGGGCAGCCCGGACAACGAGGAGTACATCCTGTCCTTTGAGACCATCGACAAGATGCGCCGCGTCAGCTCCTACTCGTCGCTCAACTCCCTCATCGGTGAGTCCGCCCGGCGCTGAGCCGCCCCCAGATGCAGGGACCGCAGTGTTGTGGGGGGCGCGTGCCAGAGCTCCTCGGTGAGAGAGTCAAGCCGGCTGGGGCGCAGGGCATGAGGGAGCGCCATGCGTGGCAGCGGGTTTCCGCCGCCGGACTTGGATCTGATGGCGCTCGCCCTGCCCCCCTGGGCCCTCTGGGCCAGAGCCTTCCAGCCGTCTTCACCCGGAGCGGCAGTGCTCAGCAGGGACTTGGCCCGGGAGATGCGTTGGCTGTCCTGGCAGCGACACCCCACTGCACACAGGTGACACCCCGAGGGCACGTGCTGGGGCTGAGGGCCTATCTGCCCAAGACCAGGCCCGCCCCTCCTTCCAGTCCCCTCGGTCGCCCCCGCCTGGCCCTCTCCTCGGGCCTCCAGCGTCACCCAGCGCAGCGACCTCACGCTGAGCTGCCCAGAACCGAAACCTGCCTCAGGGTCAGGCGGCCGCCCGTCCTGCCCTGCGGGTCCCAGCCCCGCTGCGGCAGGGGCTCCCCACGCTTTTCCCACTTGCAGCCGTTTCACTCCTCGCAGTGACCAGGTGGGCCTCCTCTGCTCCTGCTCTGACCGCCCGGGGCGGCTCAACAGGCCTCATTTGAAATTTTATTTAATACTAAGAAATATTTTAGACACAGAGAACCTTGGAGAGGCTCATATAACACATCTGGGTGTTTGTTCTTTATCAACTTAAGGACTGTCAACCAGAGCCGGAAGCCCAGAGCCTCCCGCGGGGGTCCCGACACACTCAGAATGTCCACCTGAACCCCCGGAATGTCCGCGGTGCCCTTCCAGAGGCCTCAGAGCCCGTGCACACGTCACGCGGCGCCCCCGCCCTCCCTGCCCTGCAGCGCTGCTGGGCTCCCACCCCTTGCCTGCAGCAGAGCTCTCTGCTGCTATTCTGTAGACCACTCCCTTGCTTAAGCCAGAATTCTGCCCGATGTCACCTTAAAAGCCACCTCCTCCACTGCCCTCCCCCGTCTAGAAGGTGCCGCCATCACAGGTTCCCCGGCCCCGCTTCTTGCTGTTTTTCTCTGAGAGCGTCCACCACCAGGCTGGTTGTACACACCCCTCGTCCTGTTCGTGGGGCCGGTTCCCCTTCTCTCCCAGGAACGTAGAGCCACGACTCCTGGAATGTGGTCTTGTCCACGACTGTGTGCCCCCCACCCCCAGGGCCTGGCGCCGGCTAGGCGCTCTGTAGACATGAGGGGGTGCAGGCTGCTGCGATGCCCTCCACCGACCCTGTTTCTGCACCTCTACTCTCTGTCGGCGTGGTGGACTCCGTGATTTGAATTTCTCATTAAACCATCCTTGCATTGCTGGGTGAACCCAGCTTGGTAATGTCCTTTCACACTGCGGCATTATTAAGTTTGTCAGTATTTCATGAGTAAGTTTGGCGTATAATTTTTCTCTTGTACTCTCCTTGTCTGACTTAGATACCAAGTTTATGCCAGCTTCATAATTAGTTCGGGACTATGCCCTGATTTTTTTGTTCCTGAGCAACTTGCGTAAGACAGAGTCGGTGTGTTCTTTAGGTGTGTAGGTAGAACTCGCCTCTAGAGTTGCTTGGGCTCAGTGGGGTATGTGTGGATGGGTTTTGGTTCCTGACTCCATCTGTTTGACAGGATTATCCAGCTTGTCCATTTTCTGCATAAGTTAGCTTCCACATCTTATATTTTTCTAAGACATACATGTCAGCCAAATGTTCTCATTTATTCCCGTGAAGTTTTCCAAAGCTTTCTCATGACTTTTTAATCGCTGCTGTCTCTGTAGGCATCTCTCTTCTTATTACTATTACTGGCTACTTTTTCTCCCTTTTCTTGTTTAATCCTGTAAGATGTTTGTTCATTTCTTTAGCGTTTTTAAGGCCTGCTTTTTCTTAGTCGATCTACTTCATCATTGATTTCATCATCGACTTCATCTTGTGTTCTAGTAATTCTTTTCTTTATTTCTTTCTGGGTTTTTTTAGGTTTATTCTCTTGTTCTTTTTCAATTCTGGAGTTGAAATAGAAACAGCTCATTATCTTTCGGGGCCTCTTCCTTTCTGGGCTGGGCACTGACGCCTGTGACTCTCCCTCCCGCCGCTCACGTGCATCGCTCTCAGTTGGTCGGTAATGTTCACTTCTGAGTTACTTAATTTCCTCTCTGACCCAAGAGCCGGCGCTTCCCACCCGAGAGCCGGGTCTTGCGATGTGGACCTTCTGACACGGTGTCCGGTCTGCGGGGGGCTGATCTCGTGCATGAGCACCGCTCCTCCGTAGCCCTAGAGAACACTCGGGACATGCGCCCGGTCCCCGCAGGATGCGTCTGTGGTGTCCTGTAAGGACCTGCCCGGACAGCAGGGCCCAGGGGTGGCCAGCCCGCCCCAGGGTGGTAAGAACTGGAAGAGGATCTTTGCTTTGTGCACGCAAGGCCTTGGTGGGAAACACCAGCCTGTCCCTGTAGACTGGGAAGTGCCATTGCATGTGTGCGCATTTGGGTGTATGCTGGTCCCCCGACGGGTCCTGACTCACCAAGAAAACATGCCTGCAGGATGTTTGCTTCAAAGTGAAACACATTCCAAATAGGATTAATGTGACAGTGGCTAAGTTCCCAGGCTGGCCCACGGGAGTCTTTCAGAACCTGGGTCTGTGTGAATCCTAATTCCCCCACCTCCGCGTGCACTCCCCCAGGGTCGAGGTGAGGGCTGCCTTCCAGCCCCACGCTGGAGCGGGGCCGGCAGACTTTCTGTGTAAAAGACCAGATGGCAAATGGCGGTATAGCCTCTGTGATGCAGAAACAGCCACAGACAGCATGAGAACAAATGGATGGCCACGTTCCAATAAAGCTTTATTTAGGAACTGAAATTTGAATTTCATACAATACCCACATCACAAAACATCGTTTTTCTTTTGATTTTTTTTTTTCTCCAGCCATTTAAAAAATATAAAAACCATTCTTAGTTTGCAAGCCATAGAAAACAAGCAGCCAGCCACACTGGCCCACCATAGTCTGCCCACAGAGCTGCCCTCCAGGCCCCAGGATTGCCCTGGGAAGCCGGGAAGTCTCCTGCCATTTCTCCGCATTTCAGTCAGTGAGCACTTCCCAGGCGCCCAGCCACCAGGCATTGGGAGGAGGTGCGGAGGAAGCAGGCGTATAAATGCTCATAAAAGCGTATAAACTTCGGAGCTGGTGTCCATGGCAGGCACCTCTACTCCCTAAAAGCATGGGTTCTGCCCCACCCCAGGGGAGGGACCACCAGCCCAAAGCTGGGTGTGTCTGCCACTCCCCTCTGTCCCCCGGGCCCCTCCTGGTCCCACCTCTCCTCCCGACCCCCCCTTGCTCTCCAGCCTTCCTCCTGGACGCAGATTCTCCTGACTGGTCTCCCTGCCTCCACGCCCACCTGACCCAGGTTCAGGCCCTGTGTGCATCCTGCCTTTCATACCTGTCCAGGTGCCCCATGGTGAATGGTGCCCTGACCGCCCTGAGTTCTGAGGGTGCTATTCACCTGTTTCACAAATACTCACATGCACAGCTGGCCATCAGGAAAAGAAACCAAAGAAAGTGAAGCCTGCTGCCCCAGGCTGGCAGGAACACTGCCCTTCATTTGTCAAATGGAATTGCCAGCTGAGAAGTACTGAAGCCATACGTCAGCCCTGGGCCATGGAGAGCGCCCTCAGCAGGCCTCCGTTTCCTCGGCATTCCCCCGTCTCTGGGTGCCTTCAGTGCCGCACGGAGGTCTCCCTGCATGCTGGTGGAGGCTCAGAAGAAGGTTCCGGCGTGCTGTCTCACTTGTTTAACAGGGCAAGCTGGTGTCTGCGGTGCCCTGGCCAGCTGGGACATGCCTGGAGCACAGCTCTGGTCCCTGATGATAAATGTCATTTTTGTCCTTGGCACTAGACTGGGGAAACCCGTCTTGGCAGTCTAAGGGATGAGGAATCCACGTTTCATTTCAGGCCACGTCAGGTCGGGGCTCGGCAGCTGTGGAGCAGAAGCAGGTCGCTTTCTGCCCCCAAGGACGAGCCCCGTGGCTCAGCTCCGCACCACCACCTCCCTGTCTCCCCACCGAGACTGAGAGCCACGTGCTGAACCCCTGCCTGCTTTCTCACAGTCTGACTCTGGGACGCTTTTTGCTGGAGGAAACTGAGTTTTATCTGTGTATCATTCAAATCTTTGAAAACTTGGGGGGGAAAGTCTCAAAGTGAGCTGAAGTTGGAGGAGCCCAGGAAGACAGAGCACCAGCCCCCCGGAGTCGGCGCGTGCACACTGGGCGAGCTCAAGCTCTTGTCCGCAACTGTGCCCGAAGCTCTGGAAGCTGCTGCAAGGGCCCTGCGGTCGGCGTCCGGCCCTCCCGGACCTGGGGAGCAACACGATGTCCCTTCTTACCCTTTCCCTGCCTGGCTTCAAGCTGCCCCAACAGAGAGGCCCACGCAAGCCCCCCGCTCAGCTCTGGAGATGCCAGTGTCGTGAGCTCTGGATTTCAGGGAGGCGCTGGTTCCTCCATGAACCATGGAGTTGCTGAAGGAAAGCACAACCTGCACCAGGAGGCTGAGCAGGGCCACTGCCAGGGACGCTGACATGTCCCGGGGGGAGGCTACAGCCCATCCATTCGATCTTCCTGTTGGAAAATGTTTTCTGTAGCCACAAGGTTGGTTGTATTTGTACAGCCGAAACTCTTGGTTAGAGGCCATCATTCAGTGTGACTCAGGGACATGGAGGAGCCTCATAGAGAGAACTATGGCCATGCTGGCCGCCCTGTCTGCGCTGGGCTCCATCTTCAGCAGAAGGGGTAAGAGGCCATCCCCACCAAGAGGGCAAAGGCAGGTGTTCTGGCCTTGGGCACTGGTCCCTACAGAGGGCAGAGGCTCTTGGCCCTGTGTCCCCAGGTGGAGCATCAGAGGCGGGGAGCCCTGAGACCAGGGTGACAGGCAGCAGCCCCCCACCGAGTGGGGCTCCAGACTCCTCCTCTCTCCAAGCTGCTCTGCCGACCCAAGGGGTCTGGGGGTGGCCACAAAGTGCTGAGCACATTTTCCTACATCTTACACTACTTCACAGGTTGCAGCCATTGCTCTGAAAGACCCGTTAGTTATGGTCTGTTACTACTTTCAGTCTAGACATGAAAACAGATTCCCGGCACGTGGGGGAGTTCAGCCAGTGCCAGACACCAGTGCCCTTTCTGAGCATGCAGTATCCCAGATGCCTCCCTGGCTCTCTGTCCCTAAGGGACTGGACTCGGGCATCTGCGTTGTCTCAGGGGCTCCAGTCTCTGCCCAGACAGTGCAGGGGAATAACTGTGGTGCCCAGACCGGGAGAGAGAGGCACCGTAGTAGCCTGGGGACTGCCGGTCACCAGCAAATGGTTGTACCGCTCACTGTGGTCAGAGGTTCTGACAAAGGTCACTTATTCCCTATTGAGTCACACACCGTTACATCAAAATTGAAATCCCCAGCAGAAAAGTCGGCAGCACTGAGGCTGAGATTCGCCCCGGAGACGACAGTGGGGTAGCTAACTGGCTGGTGCGCCGCCCGTCCTCTGCCCAGCATGGCCCCACACACACCGCGCCTTTGCTCCTGGTGCCTCTTGCACCCATGGTCCTGTGCCCCCACCCCTGGGGTCTGCTTCCACCACCGCACCTGATGACCTGGGACACAGCCACGAAGGGGCAGAACGGGCCCCGCGCACCACCCTGTCCCCCGCCTCACGTTCCTGTCAAAGGCTCCTCGGGGCTGGGCTCAGGCGCGGCTCTCGGGTCAGCACCCAATCAACGAGACTTCTAGCTGTGACCCCACAGGTCTCACCCACCCTCTGCCAATGCCGGTGTCCCGCACTCCCCGGCTCTTGTGACGAGGGCCCTTCCTGGCACTGTCACACAGCAGCTGGGCTTCGCTTCAGGAAGCTGTCCACCGTCACTGAGAGCCCAAAAATGATGGAGGGGGAGAATTTCAGGGCTGGAATGAGCTGCGGGCCTCTGAGAACTCCCCATGTTGGTTCGACCATGCTTCTACATGGGGCAGGTTCTCCTTCCCCTCCTGAGCCAGCTACACCCGCAAAGTGCATGGATTAGGGACCGTCACCCAGGGGCTTGAGAGCCACCTCGTCCCGCCCGCCTCCACCTCTTGGGAGGGATTGCAGTCTCCTGGAGGCCCTTGCACAGCACAGAGGCTAGTTCTGTGGCAGGCCATCCGCTCGGATAGCAAAGTAGATTTTAGGACGTTTTCTCAGAGATTCTGTGCTAATTTCACCAGTTTCCTTGGGCTTGGGGCATCATCTGGACAGTGGTCCTGAGGCTGCAGGGTGAGCGTCGAGAGCTCTGTGCTCTGTCTCTGTTTTGAAGTGGGGAGCGCATTTCTGTGTAGCTGCTCCCCTGACGCGGGGTCCCTGACAAGCAGAGCTTGTCTGCCTGGTTCACCTAACAAGTCAGACTGTGGAGCCCAGGCCTCCAAAACGTCCCGGTACCTGCTTCCTGTGGGTCAGGAGCTGATGAGGTCCTCCCCGCGCACCGTAAGCTCACGCTGAGCACATGCACATGGACGATGAGGGGACGCCGCCTCGCCCGCGATGGTGAGAGCTGCCCTGCACTGCCACCTTCCACCTGGCTGCACTGGGGACACCAGTTCACGAGAAAGACAGTGACTGGAGGGATGTTGTGAGCGCTCGCTGCAATGAGCCTTTTTGGTGCTGGTCAACTCGGCAGAGAAGCCGGGAGGACGGGGTTCTCTACCTCCATCACTCGGGTGGCAGTGGGCAGCTGGCAGTGAGTCCCATGGCCCCTGTGCTAATGGGGTGTGGGTCGAGGTGGCTGCGAGGAGCTCATGCACAAAATCAACTGGGACCATAGGCCTCTGCCCCAGCTCTCTTCTTTGATTGAAGGTGTCATAAAAATCCATTCCATTTGAACGATCAAGAAACACTTCTAGCGCGTTCGGCTGCTAACCGAAAGAAACACTTCTAATACTTAAACCCCTTCAAGCATGAGAGGCCTTTGCTGGGAGCAGGCTGGTCACACAGGACAGCGCTGTGGCTTCTTTGAAATGCTTTCTCTCTTTTTGTTGAACAAGCACTTACTTTTCAACAAACTGTCCAGCTTCCCCCCAAAATGAAAGGATGCATTCATACGTGGTTCCCTCCCCATCCGGCCACACGCTCCTGGGGAGCAGGACCATCTCTGCGTCCCGGCCCCCCAGGATCGCTCGGGAGGGGCACAGGGCCCGAACACGCTCTGCTCTCCCGCTCAGCCCCGCCTGGCGACCGAGCGCCTGCCGCCCTGTCGCCGTCTCTGGCTGGCATATCTGGACTCTAGTCCTGCTGCTTCTCCAGAGGCTCTGAGGTTTCCATCGCCCTGTGTTAGTTTGCTGTTTCCTCTGCTGACCTTCCTTCCAGGAAGGTCTTTGCCAGAAGAATGGTCCTGCTTCCCTTCAAGCCCACTTTTGTGCCTCTACAAGGCCTTCCTGGCCCCTTACCCCAGGCCCACTCCTGACAGAAGGAACCACTCACCCGTTACCCTAGCTGCCAGGCAGCCCAGTGTCATGGAAATGGTGGGCTTGCCAGTCAGACAGGTGCATATTCAAACCCTTCGCCCTTTGCCGCAGGGCCTGGCCGTCCACATCTGCGATGCCAAGGGCAATGCCTGTGGCATCCCATGGGGGTTACGTGGGACTGAGCAGCCTGCACAAGATGAGGCCCTCAGTGGGCATCCCCTTCCTTCATGTCGTGTCCACAGTTTACCCATCTCTTCCACCTTGGCATCCAGGCATGCAGAGAGGACCTTGTGTGGGAACACACTCAGCAACACCTTTTGTGATTTTCTGGGGATTCGGGACAGCGCGGCATGTGGTGTGTGGGCAGGAGCATCCGCAGGGAGCCTTGGCACCCAGGGCACACCTGGACGGGGTGAGGGGGAGACGGGACAGTCATCTGATGCACACCGCTCATGGAGGCCATGAAGGCTCCCCTGGGCACAAGGTGCTGCTCCCAGTCAGCCAGGGCACCCGGGAAGCCCTGCCTTTTCCAACTCACCTGTCCTTCTAGAAAGATCCAGTCTCAGAAGACAAACTCATGTGAGCATTTCACAGTTGGCCTCCCACCAGAGTAACAAAACAGGGGCTTCTTGAAACCCAGTTTCTCAAAGTGTCCGCTCCTGATAGCAGAGCTAAGTCGCCAGAAAAAGGGGGCTGTCTCGGGAGCTTGCGAGCGTGCAGGTGGGAGCTGTTTGTTACTGAAACATCTCCCATTTCTCTCTTCTAGGGGTTTCTTTTAATAGTGTCTACACTCAAATCTGGAGAGTCTTACTGCATCTGGCTGCAGACCCCTACCCGGATGTTTCCGATCTGGCCATGAAAGTGCTCAATGGCATTGCCTGCAAGGTACGTGTGGCGGGCGTTCTCCGCGAAGCTCTCAAGCTGCCATCTTCAGTCCCGGGCACTCAGGCAGGGAATTCCAGCCACAGTCAGGTCTGCACCACAGTCTGAGAACTTCCAACGAGCATTTTGAGTCCGGAGATTTACAGCACGCCCTGAACTCCGTGTAGATGTGGCTCTGGCCGGAGCACACTTTACTATTTCTGCTCCCCCACGTCAGCACCAGGAAGTGAGGTGTGGGTTGTCATTATTTCTCAGAATCCTCTTGGTGTCCATGTGACCTGTAGTGATGTCCCCTCTTCCCTTCCTGATACCAGTAACTTTTGTTGACTTCTCCTATTCATGACCATTCCATCTAAAGAAGACTTTGCAGAGAACCAGCTTTTGGTTTCGTTAGTATTCATTTTACTGATATGTTTTTTCTTGATTACTTGCCTTTGCTTACTGAGGGTTTAATTTGCTCTACCGATCTTAACATGGAAGCTCAGGTCATTCGCTGATCTCAGTCCTTTGTTCTTTGGGGACTGCAAACTCGCCCAGTCCTTTTTGTGAGCCTGGGGGGTTCCAGGGGTTCCTTATACCCAGCCTTGGTTTTCACCCCAAGCAGAAGCAGAGGCTCTCAGGAGGCTGCAGGGGGCTCTCCTTCCTGCAGACCTCGGAAGCCCTCTGCTCCCTGGGCCTCCGGTACCACCGCCTGGGACTGCCAGGTCACTGCCTACAGGTGTGATCCGGCAGTGAACCCCGTCACCAAGGTCACAGGCCACAGTAGCCTGTCTGGAAATAGCTGTTTCATATATTTTTTTCTGGTTTTCCAATTTTTGACAATTTACATGGCAGTTATTCTTTTCTGAATGGAATCAGAAATCATTCATTACAGCATTTTTAAAAATTTTTGTCACTTTCTGATAAAATGTCAAACTCACAGACAAGTTGCAGAAAGAGTTCGGGGAAACGTGGGCCATGTCACAGCTCCCCTGGGGTGTCCCCGTGCTGTCCTCGCCTGGCCCTCACCGCAGCAGGGGGCTGTCCTCAGCTCGCCCTCGCCCGAGGTCGTGTGGCTCAGGGGCGTATTTGGGGCCCGCGATTCTTCCCAAGCCAGTTGTCAGCGTCTCGTTGTCTGCCTACCGCCCAGTGCGGGGCCCGCTGCCCACCAGCTCTGCAGCACCTGGCCTCCTGGAGGCGCATGCGGCCCCTCCGCCCGCAGTACGTTCATGACGTGGTCGTGTCTTTCCTGGCCGACTGAATCTGCTCCTCCTCCACGGCTGCCGCTTCTGCTGCTGGTGGTGTCATGAGCCGGGTGACAGCCTCCTCGCCTCCCCGATTTTAAATTGGCCCCCACTTTCTCCTTAAAGGAGCCATAAGAACAGTGCAGAAGTGCATTCTGGGTTTTACCTCGAGCTGTGGTCGCGTGTGGCCCTGTGGGAGCAGGACTTAGAGGAGCCCGTCCCCCATGCCTCCTGCGGAGTGCCGATGTGCCAGGCGTTACCGCACCTACGTGCTACCCTTGGCGGTGGGAGTCCGCCCTGACCTCCCCTTGTCCCCAGCGAGCCCCCAGCCCACTTCCTTCCTCATCCTGGCCTGCAGGAGCTACAGGGGTGCTGGAGGTGGTCCCACCCTTGAGGGGCAGGGAACCTGTCGATCCTTTTATTTGTCACTGGCCTATGGAAAATAACCAGTCAAGTTAATTTTTTCATTGTGTATTAGAAAACTAAGAAATAGTCTAACCATCTGCTTTTTCAAGTAAAAATAGGATCAATTCAAAAATAAGGCTTTTAAAAAAATGTATTTGTTCTAACTTGGTCTGTGACCAAGGGAGGAAGGAAGGAGAAGGAAGGTGGAGCGCCCAGAGGGAGGCACGCAGAGGTCCCCCCCGGGGGAGGCCACCAGTCACCCCGGGCCACGGCCGGCTCTGGAAGGGACGCTCGGGGGAGGCGAGATTCTGCACGTTTGGGGCCGGAAGTCATCGTGTCCACTTGCTACATATTAGGGGAAGTCTGTCTTACCATTTACCACTGTTCCTTCAAACTCCAAGTAGCCTCTCCGACTTTCAGTTCAAAATTTCAAAAATTGTTTTTAAACAACTGTTTCCACTTAAATAATTTTGAAGCTTTGTATGGACATTAACGAATGGCTTAAGCTTTTAGAATCTGTGTTTGAACAAAGAGGAACCTGGCCATTTCACCCCTTTGCCTGAAAGCCTGCGGTGCTCCAGGGAGCCTGGCGGCCTCCGCAGCCGGCACAGCCGGAGGCCGCGCTGTCCAGACGGCTTGACCGTTTCCCTCTGTCTCTTCTTGATTGTTTTGTTCACCATGAAACCAGTATTCGGCCTATCTGAGTTTATTTTTTGGTGGCTTTTATGTATCAACCCTTACTAAAAGTCAACATGAATTATTTAAAAATACAATCTCAGCACCTCATCATAATTTCACAACCGCAGGTCACCGCAGTAGACCTGCCCTCAGGCTGTCAGGTCCCTCTCGGGAGTCCCCAGTGTGTGAAGCACAGAGCTCATGTCACCACGTCCTTCTGGACTGCATGTAAATTGTGTAGCTATAAGCCAGAAATGCCACTCACCCCACCTGAGGGTAATTAAACATCTCGTGCACTTTCACACCCTGCCACCTGAAGCATAGCCTCCTGTGCCTTTAGCACTCTCTAGCTGAGCCCTAAGGACCCATGAAAGTGGCATGTGGCTTTCTGCCTGCTTCACTGATCTAGGGTGACACACACACCCCATTGTGCACATGGCTGGCACACCCAAATCAGAGGGACGGGTCTTCTCTGGAGTCCATGCTCCCTGGAGACCTTGCAGTGGTACAGCACAGCCTGCACGTGTGTCTGTGTATGTGTGTCTGTGGTTATGGGTGTCTCTGCGTGTATGTACGTGTGTATATGTGTGCGTTTATTTCTTAGAGTAAACCTTGGTACTGAAGGATTTGGAGATGTAAACATCAAGAAAATCCTTTCTTGTCCTTAATTTAATTTCAAAAAATGTCTTATTTTCTGCTTTAGTAACTAATGAGGGGGTCACATTTCAGCGTACAGATGAACGGGCCTATTGTAGACACCTAACTCTGAAGCCAAGCCCGTGTTTATAGTAGTCAAAGCAGCCTTTTCACTGTGGAAGGCCCCACAGAGCGCTGAACGCACATGCAGGGATCGCCCCCAGCCAAGCAGGTAGGGGCTGCACAGCTCGGAGCCGGGGCGCGTTTCCATGTTTATGAGCCTTTATGTGGCTTGGGGTTTGCACAGTGCATGTAGGTTTTATTATAGAAAATGTTAAGCCTCACAGAAGTAAAAAGAGTATGATGACCCTCAGGAACATACCAGCCCTGCTGGGGCTTCAGAGTGACACTGAGAAAGACACTCCAAGCTGCGGGTGTTCAGATGTATAAAAACAGCACTTCTTTTCATATTTGTGAGAAAGTTTATAAACATAGAAACTCACCTAAAAATAGTACCACAGCCTCTTGACACCCACCATTCAGAGTCAAAATGTCAGTTACCGTGTCCATGGAGGGCTCATGCAGCCAGCCACGCGGAGAATCAGAGATGCACGTGCTCCGTCAAAGGCAGTGACTAACTTCAAGCCAGAGGCCTAAGTGGCTGATAAATAAAATGAAGGTGGAGATACCCGGAAAAGCATGTTCAAAAATACCATTAAAATTCATTACACCCAGCTTCACATTTTCAGGGCACTGGTGACGCACCAAGATTTCTTTTAAAATCCTACTGCCACGTGGGAATCCCCTCCTCCCGTTGACAGCTTCAGTTAGAATCCAGAAAGCCAGTCCGCCCCAAATCCGACTGAACTCAGCAAGTCTGCACTTGGCCCCTGGGCCGGAGCAGGGCCGAGCCCCGCAGCCCCTGAGGTCCCCTCACTGACACCTGCCTTCTTCTGTGCAGGCTCCCGCGCTGTGCATGTAAACATCCTGATTTCTTTTTAGTCGAGTCAAAATGGCCTTTCTCCCAGAGCCAAGGGTTCTCTGGTGCTGTTGTCCCTCTCTCTGGAATGGCCGTTGGCCCTGATGTCTCCAGCTTGCCACTCCCTCCCCTGAAGTGGGGGCACGAGCTGCACTGTCCAGCTCTGGAGGCCCAGCACCATTTCCCCCCCTGGTTTCCGAGGAGGCCCTGCATGGAAGTGCTGTCTGACAGCCTCGCCTGCCTGGGCAGAGTTACTGAATGGTGGGCAGGATCGTGGGCTTTCAGCAACCAGGTGGCTCGTGTGCTCTGCGGCATGCCGCGCCTGCTGGGCCCCAGGCGGCATCTGCACAGTCCTCCGGGGCCTGCCCTTCACTCAGGGACCTCGGTCCATGGTACACATAACAGGGGCGTTTCTGAAATACTCCCAGCCCCCAGGAAAGGGCAGCCAGAAGCTTACACTGCTGCCCTGCACGCCCGCTATGCGGTCGGCGTGGGAGATTCGCTGTCCTACTCACCCATGTCCCTCTGGTCCTTCCTAGGCACTGGGTAGGGCTTCGTGCAGCCAGGTGAGGCCACATGTTCTCGCTGAAGAACCAGAGTGTAAAGAAAGCACTCAGGGAGCTGGAGACAGAAGTGGGGCTGCAGCCCCAGGCCCCCGGGGTGTTCAGCAGTGTACAGAGGCCCCTACTTAACTGCTCAGGACAGGAAGCCAAGGTGGGGCTGATGAATGTGTGCATGTGTACACATGGGTGTGTACATGTGTGCGTGTGTCCCTGCAAATCACTCCTCTGTTTGCACTGGGATGAGAACACATCTGACCTAAAAATTCCACTTTTAACATGGTAATGTTCATGCCCCCTGGAGAGCTGACCTCTCCCGGACTTGGCCCCCTGGGCAGCGAGCTACTCTCAGGCCTCCCCATCCAGTGGGCCCAGTGCAGCACCACAAGTGAGCAACGGGCACGGGCGGGTGCAGGAAACAGGCAGGTGGGCTCTTGCAGGCCTCCCGGGCCCTCCTCAGTTTATCCCCAAACCCTGTCAAGAAGCACACACACCGTTTTCCTGTAACCTTTTCTGGCAGTGTGCCTGCCGTTTACCAGGTGAGTGGGCCAGCACAGAGGAACCTCCGGGGCCCCTCCACACCCGCTCGTTGCCCAGTCCCCTAGCCACCTCTGTCCCCATGGCAGTTCTGTGGCCAGGCAGGTGTGCCCGGCCGCCTCCTGTGCCCCATCAGCGCTGTGGCCCCGCGTGCTGATGGTGTGTTCGTTAAACAGATCTGCATCATTAGCTGAAGAAGGCTTCCCAAGGCCCGAAGCCTCACAGTGGCCCGAGTTAGTCTCCTGAGCTGGGCCTGGCCTGCCTCCCATGACTCCCAAACCTGACGGCATCGGCGTGGACCCCGTTCAGGGGCCCTGTCTGCCCTGGAGGTGGCAGGAGGCTAGGCCCAGGCCGCACCAGCCACCAGACCAGGAGTCAGGAAGCAGCCACTGCCGTGCCCTGTGCCCAGGGTGTGCAGGGCTGGGCCGAGTCGCCACAGCTCAGGCCGCCTCCGGCCTCGGTGCTCTGGAGCCCTGGAAAGGTGCACAGGTGCTGCCGACGTCTTCATTTCACCCCCAAGGGTTTGCCGCCGTCCCGTCACCTCCCACTGTTCGTCTGGACACTTGGAGGAGATGCATATTAGGTTTATAGTTTCTGAGCTTAAATTTCTTTCCTCTTTTTAGACTTCTTACAGGATCATTTGCCTGTCAGGTGTAGGGTGTGACAAGGACGTGGCCAGATAAAGGCCAAAGCAAGTTCTCAAACCATAACTTGCATAATTCAAAAAATGAAAAGCATTTTCAAAAGGCTGGTATGGTTCCGTTTTCTTGCTAGTTCTATTTCAAAGTGAAGGAACAGCTGGAAAACACTGGTATTATGTAAACGAAGGGCTTTATGGTTTTGTTTTCCATGATTGTATCTGTTGGCTGGACACAGGGACGGCCTTCCTGGCTGCTGAGAAGTCAGCAGACACCGCAAGGGCTCCCCACGTCGGCAGCCAGTCGAGACCCCACAGGAATGCCCCCACCAATGTCAGCCTTCTGTTTTGCTGGCTGGTGCCCCGAGCTTGAGCACCGGCTCTGGCACCAGCTGCACTCAGGGAGCACTTGGCGGCCATAGTAATGGGCCACCTGCGCTGCCCCCTTCATGCAAGGGGCGCTCACCTCGCCCTGTCGCTGGCAATCAGAGCAGGGCCATCCAGCTGCCCGGGTGTGCAGCGGGCACAGAGCCGCCTGCCCGCAGGGAGCCTGGCAAAGGGCGGGTCCGCCTGCAGAGGAGCACACACCCTCGCTGGCTTGTCCCCTATTCACTCGCTGCTCCAGCGGGCGCCCTCTTTCCGAGTCAACATAAAACCCTATTTTAAAAAATCAAAACAAAGCCACTTCCTGCCTGAATGCCAGTCTCAGGCCGGTACAAATCCCTTCCAAATGTTACCCTGCAGCCTTTGGTGGGGGAGGCCCACTCACAGAAGCTGCGTCGTGACTCCACCCACCAAGTGCCATGTCTGGGGAAACTGCTGTGAGCCTGCCCCTGACGTATGGACCACAGCAGCACAGCTGGGGGAGGCCTTCCCGGCCTGTAGCGGGCCTCCCAGGCGAAGGAGGGACAGGGAGGCGGCTGCTCTCTGTGGGGAGGCACCGGCTGGAGGTGTGTCCTGGGTCCTGAAGGCTTGTCGCCAGCCGATGCCCCTCGAGGAGTGCCATCCCTAGAGCCTCACTGGACTGGCAGGTAGCTTCCAGAAAAGCAAGGAATATCATCTTCTCCACAGGGAGATGTTTGGGGGATTTTCAGCTGGAGCCTGCCATTGGTGGGTGACTTTTCCTCGGCCAAAGGCCTTTCCTGCAATTTTGGAACTACTCAAAAGCAGCCGCCAAGCTGTGCTTCTGTCTGGTGGCCTCAGAGGCCAGCAGCTGGCCAGCTGCCCGTGCACATCTCATGTCCCTTTGCTCTTTCAGGCCACATTGAACGCCCGGCCCCAGCGCATCCTCACCGCGTCCTCACTCACGCAGTCGGCACCCGCCAGCCCCACCAACAAGGGCATCCACATTCACCAGGCGGGGTGAGTGCCGCCCTGCCCCCACGAGCCCTCTGCCCACCCCCGTGACCAGCCTCCATCTCGTTTTCCCTCCCCTCCTCCCTCCCTCTCGGGTGCGTGCCCTCCCACACACACTCCTACATCTGTCCACTCAGATCCCTCCCTAGAGTTCTTTCCTACATTCATCTGCATGTTTCATAATGGCAGAAGTCAAACCGAGCTGACTTCCTTGGCCCTCAGCATCTTACAGGCGAGGGTCTCTGTTTTCCTGGTCAGTAAACAGCAAGGCGGACATCAGTGTTCACATCACAGGAAGCAGCCGGCCATGCGCCCAAGCCAGGGAATGACTGCGGGTCATGGCGCCCTCCTGTCCCCAGGGCCGGTTCTCTTTGTGGGGACCTAGCTTGCCTCTTGGGCTCACTCTTTCTCAGTGGAAGATCCTGGAAGCTGCAGGTGGGAGCTAGAGGGCTCGTCAGCTCAGCAGCAGTCGGCACTCGGGGTCTGGCCGACTTGGCAGGTGGCCGAGGGCATCGCTAGCGGATGACCCCAGGCCCCTTAGCAGTATCTGGGCTGCCAGCACCATTTGGTTTCCGAGCTCTGGGTCCCGGGTAAAACACGGTGTTCCTTCTTCCCCGACAGAGGCTCCCCGCCCACCTGCAGTGCCAGCAGCTCCAGCCTGACCAACGATGTGGCCAAGCAGCCTGTCAGCCGGGACCTGCCTGCTGGCCGGCCTGGCACCACCGGCCCCACGGGAGTGCAGTACACACCCCACTCCCACCAGTTCCCCCGGACACGCAAGATGTTTGACAAGGGCCCTGACCAGGTACAGACGGGGCCTCCCCATAGCACCCCACCATGCCAAACCCATCTTACACTGAGTCAGACGCTGAGAGCTTTGCTCCTCAGACGTGGGTGCCTCGTAGTCAGGTGGCTCACGTCGCAATCCCTCCTGCAGTTGCGTCTTCATGGGTGTCCTGGGCTCCCTTGCACCTCATCTTCTAGACTCCCTTTACTTGATGACACCCAGTAACGGCCCAGCACGTGCCGCAAATGTGTGCTTCCTCCTGTGGGTAGACCGCGTTCCTCCTCCCCTTGACGTGGCAGCTGCTGCACAGAAGTGCCTGCTCTGCACGGGGTGTTAGCTTGTCCGTAAACACTCGGCTGCATCACAGGCTGTGCGGTCTCTGCATTTACCTGAGCTGAGAAAGACATTTCAGGACAGAGGGGAAGCGGTGTCTTTGCTTCCGGGGTTGTGAGGACACGTATCAGGGACACAGGAGCTGGGGCCTCGCTGTCTGGCCCAGACGGCTGGCTGCCTTCTTGGCCAAGGAATCGGTCTACAGAGGTTGTTCAGGCTGCGCCAAGGACACCAGGCTGCTGTGGCTGCCGCAGCAGCTGCGTGGCTCCACGCACTGTAACCAGTGGTTTAATGAGACGTTCACAGCAGCCTGCGGGGTGACTGGGGAACAAGACGTGCCTGTTAATGTGCACACGGCCCCTCACCCACCCGGGCTTTCAGGGCCACCTGCTCTCCTTGCCTGGATGGCTGTGGGGCAAACACACCCACAAGCACCCAGTGTCAGGCCCAGCCTCCCGGGGTAGCCAGGTGGAAGCAGCTGGCCGTGGTTGGGCCGAGTCGCCACAGCTCAGGCCGCCTCCGGCCTCGGTGCTCTGGAGCCCTGGAAAGGTGCACAGGTGCTGCCGACGTCTTCATTTCACCCCCAAGGGTTTGCCGCCGTCCCGTCACCTCCCACTGTTCTTCTGGACACTTGGAGGAGATGCATATTAGGTTTATAGTTTCTGAGCTTAAATTTCTTTCCTCTTTTTAGACTTCTTACAGGATCATTTGCCTGTCAGGTGTAGGGTGTGACAAGGACGTGGCCAGATAAAGGCCAAAGCAAGTTCTCAAACCATAACTTGCATAATTCAAAAAATGAAAAGCATTTTCAAAAGGCTGGTATGGTTCCGTTTTCTTGCTAGTTCTATTTCAAAGTGAAGGAACAGCTGGAAAACACTGGTATTATGTAAACGAAGGGCTTTATGGTTTTGTTTTCCATGATTGTATCTGTTGGCTGGACACAGGGACGGCCTTCCTGGCTGCTGAGAAGTCAGCAGACACCGCAAGGGCTCCCCACGTCGGCAGCCAGTCGAGACCCCACAGGAATGCCCCCACCAATGTCAGCCTTCTGTTTTGCTGGCTGGTGCCCCGAGCTTGAGCACCGGCTCTGGCACCAGCTGCACTCAGGGAGCACTTGGCGGCCATAGTAATGGGCCACCTGCGCTGCCCCCTTCATGCAAGGGGCGCTCACCTCGCCCTGTCGCTGGCAATCAGAGCAGGGCCATCCAGCTGCCCGGGTGTGCAGCGGGCACAGAGCCGCCTGCCCGCAGGGAGCCTGGCAAAGGGCGGGTCCGCCTGCAGAGGAGCACACACCCTCGCTGGCTTGTCCCCTATTCACTCGCTGCTCCAGCGGGCGCCCTCTTTCCGAGTCAACATAAAACCCTATTTTAAAAAATCAAAACAAAGCCACTTCCTGCCTGAATGCCAGTCTCAGGCCGGTACAAATCCCTTCCAAATGTTACCCTGCAGCCTTTGGTGGGGGAGGCCCACTCACAGAAGCTGCGTCGTGACTCCACCCACCAAGTGCCATGTCTGGGGAAACTGCTGTGAGCCTGCCCCTGACGTATGGGCCACAGCAGCACAGCTGGGGGAGGCCTTCCCGGCCTGTAGCGGGCCTCCCAGGCGAAGGAGGGACAGGGAGGCGGCTGCTCTCTGTGGGGAGGCACCGGCTGGAGGTGTGTCCTGGGTCCTGAAGGCTTGTCGCCAGCCGATGCCCCTCGAGGAGTGCCATCCCTAGAGCCTCACTGGACTGGCA